CTGAAGGAGTGAGATAGAAGGATAATAAGATAATTAAATATAATAGTGTTCATAAGAGAAGAGCATGTTTCAAGGGGAATACTAAGTTTCAGTGCAGACACCTAAGCTCATGATGCCCATGGAGCAATAAAATTTATCTGCTTGATAGGCAGGCAGGGGGCCTGAAAGGCAAGACAAATTCGATGGTATCAATTTTTGGTGCATCCATAGGAAAGAAAAAGAAGCTAAAGAAATAAATGAGATAACCAAAAACATGGAGCAAGTTGACAGCCTGAACAGAGCTTTGGACATACCTTTACTTAGAAGCTGGAGGCACAACGCGAGGCAGTGTAGAAGATTGGGGAGGAACAAAACTTGAAACAAGTTGTGTCACAAAAGACAAAAGAGGAAATACTATAAGAAGAAAGCACAGAGTACCAAATGTTCCAGAAAGGCTAGCGGGATTCACTCATTTGTTGAATCAATGGCATTATCTATATACCTATGAAGCTCTGTGCTAGGATTTAGGAATGAATTCACTGAGGTGACCAGTGAGTTTTCTTTTGTAGTCATCAGATGATATCTTAGCGTGCTTTTATGTGGGTCATAATAGTGATATTACGATTATTTGTTTCCATCTTTAATCCACTCATTCACAGTGGATTAAAGATGGAAACAAATGTGGAATAAAGAGAGCCAGACTGCATAGAATAATCTGAGATAGTTGAGTGGAAATTATAAAGAAAAAGAGAGCCAATGGAGGTCCTTTGTCAAATAGTCTAATTGGGCTTAATATTATGAGGCCTAAATATTAGAGGTAGAATTAGCTATTTTGCTCCTTGTAGCATATCCCATGTGAACAATTTTGACTCACTGACTTAAGCTACATGTCATAATGGACACAGGATCTTAAGGTACAGATATTTTTCCCCCCTCTTGGTAGCTTACACTCTAGCCTAAAATCAAATGTATACATGTGAGGAGTTTTAGGTGTAGAACACGATGTAAAGACTGAGAAAATTTCAAATAACATGACAAGAATTTCTAGCAACATCCAATAGCAAAATGCATTGCAGATCAGATATACTGTGAATTCAGAGAAAACATAACCACGAATGAAAAAAAATCTTCAGTGCACAGGAGGAAATAAGTGGAGGTCACAAAATAAGACGAGCATTAGGACTTTCATGAGGGAAAGACTAGAGGCGGACTTCACTCAGAATCCCATCTCTTCTCCTGTAAAGTGGAAATAGTGCCGCCTGCCTTTCTTTCTTCAAACCTAGAAAAGGGCCTCAAAAATGAATCTAGCCTTCCACGTCCTTACCGGAAGCCTTCTTTTAGTTCAGAGATGAAAGGTACTCATGCTTCACCACTGTAGCATCAGTCATATGAGAACAAAGCTATCAAAAATGCACAAAACCTGTTGCTAGAAAGTAGGAGCCTTGGAAACCTCTGCCCTGTGACAAATAACAGGAATAGAACAGGAAAAGAGACAGATGCCTATATGGGGACGGTCACCAGCAATCTCAGTGCTCCATTGAGGCAAGGAGAGAAGCAGTTCCTACCTTGACCTAGTCAGAGCCTGAATTCCAAGGTGAGGATCTAGACATTGGAATTGAACAGTCATACACATGTCAACTATGAACCCACAGGGCCTTTCGGTCTATAGGTTTACAGATTAAATTGATTTGATAAAATTCCTTTTGTTTGTTTATTAAATCCATAATTTTATAGAATTTTGAGAGACCAACCTAAAGTTCGTCCAAAGAGCGCATACACATAATACAGTAAAGATGTTGCATGAGGAGGGTTAGTACTTACAATATGTCACATATCAGTTTAATGAATATGACAGAATGTGAGTCTTTATATACTGCTCAAAGCCATAAGAAAATGGGGTAATGTTGATTGTTTCCATTTTCAACCTTTTCAACAAATTAGTGGATAGATTCATGTTTTCAATAAATATCTCCACATCTAAACCCTGCAACTTAAATAATTTCTGTCCCTTTTCTTCTTCCATACACTCACATAGTCATCCGATGTGTATTTGTCTGGATGACATTTTCTTAGTCTCAAGTAAATCAATGTTTCACTACTTATAACACTATAATAAAATAACAGCAATTTAAATTTGATAGTCCTCTTATGGGACATTCATGAAACATGATTTCATTCATTCTTTAAGAAAATTCTGTGATATTTTAACTTACCACATCAGAAAATCAAAGCTGTGTATGGATGATGATCTGATAATCCTCCTGTGTTAAACTGTGAGTTACTGATGGAATTTAAACTTAAACCTGTCTCCATGCACTGCATTGCCTAGTGCATTCTAATCAAAATACCAATTTAAATGCATGATTTTCTTAGAGAATACAGCTTAGAGGTTAATACATTTTGATGCACCATTTTAATTTATCAAATAGCCATATTTTGTCTTTGATTTTCATTAATAAAAATTATAGACATGCTATATTTTATTTATTCTTAAAGAATTGTTATTGTAAAAACTCCTCTCTACCAACTTTGTTTTTAATATGAAAAGAATGCCTAAAGTGACATTTAAAATTATCACATATATATATCACATATATAATTTATGATTTGCAGAATATCAAGATACTTTGCAATTTTCTTTTCTACCTACTACTCTGCTTTGATGATTCCTATGGGCTTTTGAAGCTACAAAGATATATATATATATTTATTAAATCCATAATTTAGTAAACAAATTACATCATTGTAATGACCCACACAGCAACAAAGGATCTTGAGTGGGGCTGACTAAAGATGGACAAAAATACAAAGACAAAAAAAAAAAAATCCAAAGACATTTTCAAACTAAGCTGAGGCCAGGTGGGACACTGCATTCTGATGAAGGAACAGTGACTCAGAACTAGTTCTGCAATTTTATTGTATAGGATTTCATAATCAGGAAGATAAACTATAGGGAAATTGCTTGTAAGTTATCAGAGGCTTCTTTGTGCACTAAAAAGTTACAGAACTAGAAACATTTTCGTAGCTATCCTACTGTTGCAGTGCTAGGAACATTCTGCTGCACCCAGGAAACACATTGTCCTGGGACATCTGATCACTGTTAGTGTCAGAGCCAAGAGTTAAGGCTGATAACATCCTTGCCTTTGGCAAGAAATGTTTCCCAGGTTTGGCTTTTGCTGACACCCCAGGATCAGCTGATGACCAGGGCATCTGCTCTCCACACATCATATCCACAAATTAACCTTTGTTAATAAGGTCAAAATAGATAGTCCATTTAATAAGCCAATAATTGAAATGGAATACTAAGAACCATTCAACTAACCCATGAGAAGAAAGGAAAAAAGAAAAAATGTGAATGAGGAACGGGGCTGACATTTTCTTCATATACCATATAGTAAAGATAAATATACCACACAGTTTCAAAGTAAATTAAAATTGAATTTCTGTATATTTAGGTTACCTTTCTTATTTTTAAAAAAAACTAATAATCCTGAGAAGTTATCTGTTCTAAATCTTAATTTATGACTTGCAGAGTATCAAGATACTTTGCAAAAATTTTTATTCTACCAACTACCATGATGTTTGAAATCCCTGCTTTAATGATTCCTGTGGGCTTTTGAAGCTACACAGAGACATATGGACATGTGTATAGCTGGAGCTAGAGGTATAAATAAGTATGGTATGGAATATAGATATAGATATGTATTGAATTCCTAAAAAAAATTGCTTCAAATAGCTTATCAGACAAAGGCCCAAGGGGGTTCAATGGATAAAGTCAGGGAGGTGTGTATGTATGTTTGTATGGGGGAGTTTTGTGTTAGGAAATTGAAAAACGGCTAAAAAATGCTATGCCTTAAAGGACATACCTCAGGACTCAGGCAACAATATGTACTCAGGAAAAGCCTGAATAACAGATGGAGAGTGACAGTCCTGGAACAAGGTCATGAAAGAGGAAAGAAAAGGTGTCAGAATTGGAAGTACATCTGCTGCTTCCAATGTGTGAAACACCCAGGATACATTAATTTAATTTTAGCTATTCAGTAGATCGTGTCCAAGAATTAAAGGAGAATCTGAAGAGTAAAGCTCAACCTTGAACTCATTTTTCTTCACTGGGTTCCAATTATGTTTTTAATTGTACTCTCTGCTCTTAGATGATGGATACACATGTTCATCACTGCATTCGTGGAGTCTTGGTACTTATAACTGCCAAAAATAACTGAATAAATAATTCTTGTTCTGAGGAAGAAATCTTTTAAATTTGGAAGCCAACTCCAAAGTGTTAGCTGTTGAGTGAAAATATCAGTGAATAACAGAGTCTATTAGTTAATTTTAAAATGTTGTCTGTTGTATTAACTGCAAAAAAAAAAAATCACCATGTATTCAGTATGTGAAAAGTACTTAGTCTCCTTTAAGTTCACACAAGGTCAGGAGTGAAGTTAAATACACCAGCATTGTGCTATACTCTTGCCTTATTTCTCTGATGTCTCCTTTATCTCTTGTGCTTCCTGAAGTGCATGAGGTAAAGATTCATACATTGATTTCCTGTGAAAGGGGCTTTTTTTTCCCCTTCTTTAATATAATCCCTTTATGGTTAAAAACAACCCACAATGAGGGAAAGAGTAAAATTACAAGCAAAGTGTTGGAAACTGGTGAGTGCCCATACATCTTTCTTATGAATGATGACTTATACCACCTATGTGGACAGCCAATCCCAGTGAATACATTAAATTCATTGTTCAAAGAAGCAAATGAACTATTTAAAAAATTTCAAAGTATCGATCCAAAGGAAATGTTTCTAATTAATTTGCAAGCAGGTTAGTCAATCAAAGTAGTCTGTGTCCCACATTAGGACATAAGAGTAGGTTATAATAAAGATCCCCCTAAAGTACAAAAATTAACTAACTTGTGCTTAGCATTTCCACTGACTTATTGAAGGGAAAACTATGGATGCTACAACAAGGAAGAAGGTGGGAAGGATGGAGGCCTGGGCATTAATCACATTGTGCTTGTTATTCCTCCAGGGTCCCACGATTCCTTCAGCTTCTACATTGATGAAGCCTCTCCAGTAGGCCCCGAACAGCCAGAAACTGTCCAGAATTTTGTCTCTGTGTTTGGAACTGTAGCCAAGAAGCTGATGCGGAAATGGCTAGCCACTCAGACAATGAATTTCACGGGTCAGCTAGGAGCCGGAATCCGTTATTTTGATCTTCGAATTTCCACCAAGCCCAGAGACCCCGATAACGAACTCTACTTCGCTCATGGTTTGTTCAGTGCCAAAGTCAACGAGGGCCTTGAAGAGATCAATGCGTTCCTCACGGATCACCATAAGGAGGTGGTATTCTTGGACTTCAACCATTTTTATGGGATGCAGAAATATCACCATGAAAAACTGGTCCAAATGCTGAAAGATATCTATGGAAACAAAATGTGCCCAGCCATTTTTGCCCAGGAAGTTAGTTTAAAGTACCTGTGGGAGAAGGACTACCAAGTGCTGGTCTTCTACCACAGTCCAGTGGCTCTGGAAGTGCCCTTTCTCTGGCCTGGGCAGATGATGCCAGCACCCTGGGCCAATACCACAGACCCTGAAAAACTGATCCAGTTTCTTCAGGCGTCCATCACCGAGAGAAGAAAGAAGGGCTCGTTTTTTATTTCTCAGGTGGTGCTAACCCCCAAAGCTAGCACTGTGGTCAAAGGTGTGGCAAGTGGCCTCAGAGAGACAATCACAGAGAGGTGAGTATCCTCAGGGTACCCAGGGGAAATGCAAATAACTTCAGTCAAATCCATAGAGTCGCCCGCAAAGCGGCCAAGCAACAATCCATACTGACAAGTATCCATTTTCTGGGGCTGCCATAACCAAGGGCCACAAATTGGGTATCTTAAAACAATCGAAATGCATTTTCTCACAGATGGGGAAGCGAGAAGTCTGAAATCAAGGTGTCAGCAGAGTGGGTTGCTTCTGGGGACTCTGAGGGAAGATCTTTGCCTCTCTCCTACTTTCTGGTGATGGCTGATGATTCTTAGAGTGGTTTTCAGCTGCATCTCTCCTGATCTTCCTCCTTCTTCCCAAGGTCTTTTCCCCATGTGCCTCTATCTTCTTTTCTTATAGGGACAACAGTCACGTTGCATCAAAACCCATCTTCATGACCTCATCTTAGCTTAATTACTTCTGAACATACCCTGTTTCCAAATGAAGTCACACTCAGAGGTACTGAGGTGGACTTGAAGATGCTTCTTGTAGGATACAGATCAACCCCTAACACCGTGTATTTTTGACTCTATCTCTAGTTCTCTTCTCACAGCATTCCTTTCACTTTGTCTAGTTCTTTACAGATTTCAAAGCCATTTTTCTACTGACTATAGAGTCTTTTAACGTATCAAATGTCATTTGATCTGCTAATAATCCTAGGAAGTAAATACTGTCTTACAGATTTAAGAAAATGAGATTCATAAAAAAATGAAATGTTTTGTCCTTTGGACAGTAAATGATGAAACAGATACTTAAGACAGCATTCTCAAATCACATGCTAGGCCCTCTCCATTGCTATCCTGCCCCATAACAAAGGCTTACTCTGCAGAGAGGGAGTGGACCTTCCATCTGTCAAGCCCAGCCATGTAGAGTGGTGGGTACCTGCAAGGTACGATTTGAAAAATCATCAAAGATCTCTGTAGCTCTTTGGAGTATGACTGCGACAGAACATGCAGAATCACCCACATTATTTATTCTTTTGAATTACCCATGTTAAACAATGTAAACAGTACCTGAAAAGAGAATACAAACCCTTGTCAGATATCTTATTTTTATGTTTAATTAATAATTCTAATTATGATAAAGAGACAAAGATTAAGGTTTTGCTTTGGTACAAGGACAAGAAAACAAGGAGAAAGATTTTGAGATTAAAATAGGATGGGTGACCTTCTAGAGCAGAATACAAGGTGGGGGTGACAGGAGAAGCTTATAACAGCAGGCAAGAATACACTTGCCACAGATCTCTTAGTCAGGCTACAGTGAACGTCATCCTGCGAGCAATGGGAGCTGGATAATGATGTTTAGCAGCTGAATGACCAAATCTGAATTTTTAGATTATAATTAATGCAACCTGAAAATAGATGGAGAGAGTGGGACATTGAGAGGGGCTTAGAACTGTTTTAGCAAGAGGGAGTGCAAGCTAAACTAAGGAAGAAAGAAAACTTAGAATGTGATAAGTGAGCCGTGAAAATTTAGACTAATTAGTGAATTAGCTAAATGGTATGAATGGCAGAAAGAGGTAAGAATGTAGTTTCTGATTGAAGATTAAGGTGGGTGAAGGAAATATTCACAGGGACAGGAAACCAAGACACAAGGACTTGGAAAGGAAGCAGAGAAAATAGAATTAGAGCCAAGCTTAGTTTCAAGTGCCAATAAGGAATGAAGGTATAAATGTAGAAAATCGATCATTAGGATTATAATCCCAATGGCCAACTCATGGGGATTATTGGCATTATGGGGTAATGAGAGCCCCAAATCACTGAAATGGAAGGTTCTTTCTTGCAAAAAAAGGTTCTTTCATTATTCAGATATCAGCTGGGATCTCCTTTTTTCTTGAAATTTAAATAAGTCTGCCTATCCTATGTTGTACACCAATTTCAAGCACAAGGATTTCCCAGTGATTTCCTCTATTGTCTGGATTATGCTCTGATGGTTCTCACCCTCACTTCTGCTGGAGAGCATCATTTGATGGGTCAGTTCCCCCATTTGATCTGCGTCTGTTCCATTCTGAGACATGAAACATGCCTCACGCTTCTACATGTTCCCACAATGGATTTAACCCTTTCCTGGAGATCTAAGGAGATCAGGGAAGTTTTATAATGACTGTAATGTACAGAATTTAGAATTAAATTTTTAGATTTTTCTGTAATCACAAACCTTCTGTCCTGGGATATCTTCACACCCCTTTGCCCCTCAGCCTCACTCCTCTGACTAGATCCCTTCTTCTTCCTTTTTCTTTTTTTTTTTTCTCATTACTTTTCTCCCCCTACATTCAGATTGCTTTGGGGATATCCTTTTCCAGGTTGTTGTACCTAACCATAGTCACTTCTCTCCAACCTTCCTATGCCCAAACCCAGTTAGTTCCATCAAAACAAGAAGGCTTTTTTAAATTTACTAAAGGCACTCTACAAACATTCATTGTTCTGGCAATTAACAATTTATCCCCTCTCTCACCAGATTAGAAAATGAGGGAGACATGTACACATGAATGTGTTATTGTTAGCCTTAGCGTCTCCAAAATTTTGAGGAGTTCCTGGGGACCCAGTAAAGGTGGAGAAGAGGAAGCAAGAGCTGGGAGAGGAACTGGTTCCAACTCGTTCCATTCTTTCTATTCCAATGCAAGAAGTCTTACTTTTAACTTTTGCGTATTTTGCATGACACAAGTCTTCCCATGGTCTCTTACAGCTGAACCATACCTCTCTACTAAGGAAAGCACTTTCTAGTACAACAAGCCCACTTTAGCCCAAATGGGTTTCAGCCAGTTTTTCCCAGGGTAGGAACCAGCCTTTGAAGAAGCCAAGAAGAATTCACTCAGGGAATAAATGGTTTTCCTTTTAGGGCACCTGATAGACTTTGGGAGCTTTCAAGCCACGGTTAGACTTCTTTTTGGCTATTCATGCACTAGTATACAATACTAAAGTGGGGATTTGTGGAGGAGAAAGTCAAAATAAGTTAAGAAAATGTGGAAAATTGTATTTTACACAATTCTCCCCAAAAGATTCCCAATGCACATTAGCATATAAAAGGCACTAACAAGTCTTTTAGTGAAGAAGCCTATTTAAATTTAACTAATACAGTGTTTTCCATGCACCTTTTCTTTCAGATAACACTTATTAACAGCCCATGGAATTAATTTTGAAAAACTGTCCTCAGCCATCTGTTCTAGTTCAGAACTTGCTTCTGGCTCTATCTATCTGCAATGGTAAAGCTGTAATATTGAAAAGAGAAAGAGAAGTAGCAAGGGTGGGGGTATTAAAAAGACCTAATAGGGGGCTGGGGATGTGGCTCAAGCAGTAACTCGCTCACCTGGCATGCGCGGGGCGCTGGGTTCGATCCTCAGCACCACATAAAAATAAAATAAAATAAAGATGGTGTGTCCACCGAAAACTGAAAATAAATATTAAAAAATTCTCTCTCTCAAAAAAAAAAAGACCTAGTAGGTAGAATCAATTTTTTTCCTCTTTGATATTATGCAAATTACTTGCTAATAATTTGCAAAAACATTGAACTTTGTCATTATATTTGTGCTATAGCTTTCTCCTTTGGAATTTAGTCTTATACCCACTAGAAAGACAAACTTTTTAACCATTGCAAAGCTGTATTCTGAGTGTGGAGTTAATGGCCAAGATTTTTTATTTTATTGTCTTGTTTTGTTACTTTTTAAAAAAAATTCCAGCCTTATGAATAAGCCTTTTAGACAAGGTCATTGTCAGCTATTGAATTGTGCCTTGCAAAGGCAATTTACTTAGCTCTGAAGAAACAGTGCAGGGACATTTGACTCCAGAGAATTCATTTCCTTTTTCTTCTTACCAAGTGAAGAGTCCTAAAACATACTAAAAAGTAGACTGATTGTGCCTCTGTTCTATGAGCTTTGTGCCAGAAACCTTCATTCAGAAAGTGGCATGTTGGCACCAAGAGATTATAATGAGCCCCCTTGTGCCATCTAACAAAGAATCACCAAGCAGTTTTGAGATCTCTAGGCCTTAAGTATTTTCATCTCCAAAATCCAGAGTTTGAACTAGATTCTGCATTTGACTAGCTAGTTTCTGTATAACTTTTCAAATCTTTTCTAATATTTGGGTTAACAAAAACCCTGAGCATATGCATTTAGAAAATACTCTTTGAAGTTGTGGGTGGCTTTCAGGGAAATTAAATCCAGCCTGAGTTTAGGTACTGTATCTTTCAATCTGGCCATTGGTGCCAAATACTGCAGATGTGTTTTCTACATTTTAGCAATGCCAAAAGACACAGATTTTTATTTCTTAAAGACCTATTTTTAATCTACTTTTCAAACACTAGTTTTCACACATTTCCCCCACAGAATTCACACGTTCTTAAAAAGAAGGTGTGCAACTTGTCATGTCTTTCCCTAATTTGTGGAAGTGTATTAATTAATAGATTTTTTTAAAATTCCAGCTTAAAAAAACTGCAGTCATATCACCTGTCAGAATGTTTAGGAAGCAATGCATCTTTGCAAGTAAATTGATGCAGAATTAAGTTGGATGATGTTTATACAGGCTAACAATTTAGATGATAATGACAATAATAATAATATTGTGATATTATTATTAGCAGTTTTTAAGTGCTGTCAGATATAATACTATTTTATATGTATTCTTTGATTTAATATTCAGAAAAAGTAGGTACTATTGCTATCCATCTTTAAAATGAAGGAATTGAGCCTTAGAAGTGTTAGGCAATTTACCCGGATAACACCACTCAGGAAAGGTAGGACCATGGGGATGGGATTTAAGTCAATGGTGCAGTGCATGCTTACCACACCCAATCCCCTGGGTTTAATCCCCAGTGCACGTGTACACATCCACATGAGGTGCATTTAGGATTTAAATTCAGGTTGTTCTGTTTGTTTATCCACCAAACAAACATGTTTAGAGTCATATTCTGTTTTAGACACTGTACTTCAAGTGTGTGACCTCAAATATGTCCTCTTAAAACTATCACACCATCTTATCTCTCTGCTATT